GCTGTGACGCTGAGGAGCGCGTTGTAGGTATTGCCCCATAACCTACAGGTCTCTGCAGCCTCCCTGTGCCGCTGTCACCTGTACTGATCGGACGAGACTTAGACTGAGTAGTATTATTTCTTCAGAAAGTATAGCTTTTAAGATCAAGAATAATGTTATACTCGTGCTCCAGTGTAATGTTAAAGGCATGCCTTCTTTTTTTGTTTATCAATAAGGACATTGCTGCCATAGGGCCTACTTTGATAATGGAATCCAAGAACCGGTTTCCGTCGGCCAGGCTGCAGCTGAACTGCTGCATCAGGTGCCCTGCGGAACTAGTGTGCGTGTTGCAGTGCCCTCTTCGCAGATAAACTGTTAGCTTTGCTGCTTCAGATGTGCTTAAGGCCTTTGCTAAATTCAAACAGGCTGTCTCAGAGTAGAAGTTGTGATATAACTAAATTCAAGTCATCTGCTGTACAATATATAATCTTTCCGGTGTTCAACCCAATTAGTATGATGATTACTCCCTCTGAAATCTCAAAGATGACTTGCTATCAAAAAAATGATTAAAATACCCAAAGAAAATCTGTGTCACTACCTCATTTTCAAACTCTTTCCTCAACCTTTAAAATTCTACATCAAAGTACAGTTTCATATCATAGAGTATACTGGACTGTAGAAGGCAGATACCAGTTTGTTCACTAAGTTTCTTAGGGATTTTGATTTTTGTTGTTGGTGGTAACATTTCACGATGTTAAAATGATCATATGTGAAATTATAACTTAAGTGATCATGTTTCGGCCCTACTTGAAAAACTGCAAATACACCCTTAACAATAGACTTTAGGGTCTCGCCTGAAAGTTGTGTTTTCAGACTTCACTGCGGCTGGGGTGCAGGGTTGGTGTGGTTAGGTTGGACAGAGGTTTCTCTCCTAGCTCCTGCTGATGTACCCACCCAGGCACGGTACAGTGTGTTTCCAGTTACTGCAAGAGCTGTTCTGCTTGGATGTTGCTGGTTTCTGTTTCCTAATTATTCCATAAAGGGATTTAAAACTGTCTTTAAAAGCCTGATATCCTCTCTTAAGTTTCACAGACTTTGGAAGTAAGTGCTATTCTATCTTAACTAGTTCAGAAGTGAAATGATGAATTTTTAGCTAGAAAAATGCAGGTTGAGAGTAGGGGAAAAAAATTTTCTTTTATATTCTGGAAAACAGGAAGAAACGTGAGTGAATTTGCTTGTTGGCCCATACTGTCAGCGACATTGCCTTCAGGAGACTGGCTCAAGGTGTTGCCAAAACCGCGGGGTGGGAATTCCACATCCACATGGTCAGAAGTGGTTTCCAGTAAGCAAACCCATCTCCTTGGTCTATAGAGTGGCGTATGGGAGTTACCAAATGATACTTTGCTGGTGAAACAAGGTTAGCCAGGGTTGTGGAGACATTTTGAAGTGATAGCCGTCTTTCGTGATGCTAGAAAATTAACTTTCATGTTTTTGTTAAGGAGGCACAAGTTGGTAATGTCTGTAAAAATAGTTGGTATCAAAAGGTTGTCTTGTGTCCGGTACAATTTTTCATTAAAAGCTTATGTTTGCTTGTAGCTGATTATTTTAAAGGGAACTCTTAAAATAACCTGAAAATACTATTTTTGTCTTCCTTGTGGCTTGTGAGCAGTCATTGCCAGAGTTTTCATTGTTCTGCCTTACTTTTTTTTAACATGGGCCTGAGAGTTTGAGTCTGTGTATATGGAACAGCCTCAGTTCTCCCCTTAATTTAATATACCTCCACAACTTGGATGTCTCAGCAGCATTAACAACTCTTGCTGCCAATGCAGAGCCACTATGGCTTTTTAATGCTTTGATTTGACACTTGTGAATTATGCAGTTACTTATCCTGTGTGATAAGAATAGATTTACTATCTCTATTCAAATATTACCAGTGTGCCTTTACAATTAGCTGTCCATTTTTTCCCCATTTTAAGTGTTTCCCTTTAAGCGCTGCCAGCTGATACGGAGGTTGTTCTGGTGTGTTTGCGTAGCTCTGTTTCTAAAACTACTTTTTTTGTGGTGATGGAAATTTAACCTCTATTAATACCGCTTCAGCTGTGTTTGCAGAGTAACCCTGTTCTCACTTTAATAATTTGAATCTTGCCCCTTAAAGTCTCTTCTGTAATGCATAAAGATATTTTGTTGTTTTATCCATAAGCTTAATAGATGGAAAAAGTTAACACAACTAAGCGCTGTGAAGTTATTCTCACCTCAGTAATCTGAGCACTTCTCTTACATCACACCGTTTGCCCTGATTTGCAGGTTATTTGAGTCGATCGTTTTTCTAAGCCCCATAGAGGCTTTTCTCGATTGGTATTTTGCTCAAGCAATAAATAAATCTGCTGACGTGTCTGTTCTGCCATGTTTGCTTATTCTTGACCTTTGCTTTTTAGCCATGCAAGGGACAGTTTCAGTCATGACGTTGTGTAACTGGGTGTTTATGCATTGACAAGCATATTTGATTTGTATTCGTAAAATTTGTGCCTGTTGCAGCAGATCAGTTGTTCAGAGTAACATAGGACATTGGTAAGGGTTTCAGGATTAGCTGTGGAGAAACCAAGGACTCCTAGCACTTTGTTGTCTTCAACCAGGGAGGCAAATATGGGCTAAAAAGATATTTGTTCCAGTGTAAGCAAATGTAATTAGAATATTTTTTTCCTCCTCTTGCTATATCATCTTTCTGTGATATACCTGTTGTTGTGTTCATTGCAGTGAGTGTAATTGCTATGACAGATGCCTGGATTTTGATTTGGTTCTGACTCGTGTTTTGACTACTGTGTCCTGTGCTCCAGGGTGAGAGCTGCCCTAAAGTCATTTTGTGACCACCCAAGGTGCCACTGCAGCATTGAAAGGAGTGTGGCCAGACAGCCTCCAGCAGTGTGGGTGCCTCTGCCAGCTGCACTTAGCAGCACAGTCCAGTTTCCCAAGGATACTCGTGCTCCAAGATCCCCTGATGTGGGCAGGGGTTATGCACTCCAGTAGGAATTAGCTGGTTAAACTCTTCTAAGGATGTTGCCCTTTAGTCTTTCAAGAGGTTTTCACACTAGATACTAATTCACTATGTCAAACTAGTGCTTTCAGTGTCATTATCGTCACTTTAGATAATGAGGAAATTAAGATGAAAGCGAAGAAATTAATTGCTCATGGCTGTGCAGTGAGCCTAGTGATGGCTTTATTCTTGTGCCCCAAATCGTTGCTTTGGCAGTAGCAGCAGTTCTTCCTCTGTGCTACCTGTGCTCCTGGGCACTCAAGGTGTGCAAAGCTCCCCCGACACCTCTGCCGTGGCCACTTCTTTAGAAGCAGCCCTGCCTTCAGTGGCAAGGGGTTTTTTCCTGGGGCAGAAACAACTGAATTCATCAGTCTGTGCAATCCATCCTGGCCACTTGCTTCTTTCCCAGGGTCGAGCATAGCAACCTTGTATTTTTTTAACCATACCACAAAGAAGGGGTATTTGTGGAGTTGCAGAGCTTCATCCTGGTAGCAAGGGGTGTCCTGCCTGTGATGGTTGTCTGAAGTGAGCTGACAGTTGTATGGCACAACTAGAGCATTGATTGTAGTTATCCTGACTGCTCTCAGCTCTACCTCCTGTTCTTCAGTCTAAGCAGAAGGAACTCAGTAGGAACCATGGTGTTCTAGAGTCCTTTTTTAAACATAAGGTTTGCATTTAAGGTTTAAATTGCGGCAGCCTTCGAAGGCTGGAGTTCATGGTCTTTGTACAGGAAGTGATGGTCTCTGAATGGCAATTGCAGTGCTTTGTGCTAAGTAGTTGTTTCCCATTACAAGCCAGACAGGTTCTGTGCAGACAGTAGGGATTTACTTGGTATCAAACTTCTCTGGATTCAACTTCACAAAACTTCTTCACCTCTTATTGTCTCTGCTTCAAACCCCAACAGCTCGCAAGGGCAGCTGCAGCACTGGTTCTGCACTGACATCCCTTTATTGCCCTCTTAAAACGTGCCACTTTTTCCCAGTTTAAAAGTTTATGTGAAGATCCATTTGAAATCTTCACAGGAACATCACACACCTCTAACAAACTGTACTTAAGATAAAATTATTTTTACTTGTTGCAAAGACTTCTGTCCACCTGGTATTTGCCAAGGGGAGGAAAAGGTCTCTGCTGTTGAATCACAAGGTCTGGATTTTGTTTTTCATTTCTACATGAATTTTTTAACATGTTGTGTTTGTCACTTAATTGGTCCATGATACAGTTTACCAAAAATAAATTGTTTTATTTTTCACCCAGGGCTTTTAATTATTTTTGTTACCTATAAATAGCTTGATGTTTAATGTGCTGTTCTGACAGGTCTTAAATGCATTACATTTTCTGTTTATTTCAGACTGTAAGATTCAGATATGTCCTTCATATTTGATTGGATTTACAGTGGTTTCAGTAGCGTTTTACAGTTTTTAGGTAAGTTTATTGCTTGAAGTTCTTCCTTTTTGCTAGTCTCCTATAAAATGTCTGTTCACCTCTGTTATCTTCAAACATAGCCACTGGTTAAATAATAATATTTATGTTGGTGTATATTCAATAACACTCAAACAGAAGTTTCACTTATCAATACTGAGTATTTCCAGAACGTGCTCTCCATTCAATCTTACATTAATCCTTTAACCTCTTGAAAAAATTACATTTTCTTTCATGAACATAATAGGTTTGATTTTTCCAGTCATACTACATTTAAGTTGGTGTAATTCATCTGACTTTCATGGAGTTTCTCCTGATTCTTCTCTGCTGTAAAGAACTGAACTCAATTATTTTAGTTCAGTTCTTTTACACATGAAGATATCACTTGAGAATCCACATATGAGGGACTGACTGCAAAAAATTAGTGCCGGATATTGAACCCTTTGCTCATGTTCAGCAGTGCACTATTCTGTGACTGGTGTCACTGAAATCAGTGTGAAAGCTCATTGGTATCTGTTGCAAGAGCCTCACGAAAGTATTTCTTGGCCAAAGGAATCACCAATCCATACCAATCCAAGGTGAAATACTAGCTTGTGCAAAACAGGAGTTAAAAAAAGGCGGGGGGGGGAACAGGAGGAAAAGGAATGTTAGGATACTAAAAAAAGGAACAGAAGTTGCAGATCACAGGTAAAAGGCACAATTTACAAATCTGAAGGATTTTCTTAAGGGGATAAAAAGCGTTTTGAGACTAAGGAATCATGGCAAGCTGTAGCACCTGCCTTTTATCAGTTGAAAGTTTAAACTTTTTTGCTGAATGTTAGACCCTTGGCCTACTATCAAAATACTAGCCAGTGAAATTTTAACTAAGTTGACTAATCTTTCTTATCTCCTCTTACTTAGCTGAGCAGTGATTACTGCATGCTAGCCCGCTTTCCCATTCCTGTGAATGCAAAGTCTAATTCCGGTGAAAGATACTGGAGCTTGAAGTAGGAAGAATTACTTTTAATATGTCCCTCTTATTCCAGAAGAAACACTTTCTCTTTTCATTCTCATTTACATTTACAGTCAAAGAAGGCTGATTATAACATTTGGGAAGCTCACTGCAGTTCCCTGTGCTGGCCTGTTAGCAGGCTGATACGATCACTTTATGAAGTACGTCTTTGCACACTTACCTTTTCAGAATGCACAAAGAATCTTTTTTTTTTTTAATACATATATACATATATATGTATTAAAAAAAAAAACCCTTCTGGTCTCAGTGTAGCTAATAGCTGAAGTACTGCTGCTTGTTTGTCTTGTGTTTCTATGAAAGACACTTGGGAAGTGTGAAATCTTTCAGAGGAAGCAGCAGCACTTAATCTGGGAGGAAAGGCTCCTGGATGTCCAGGCTGAGAGTGGCAAAAATATTATTTACTGTGGTTTAGTAGAGTTTTGTTTAATTCATAAGGTAAGTGTGGACTGGAGTTTCTCCCAAGACATAAGTTAATATATGAAAATGTTTGCTCACTCCTTCTTTCTCTGTAAACATTAATACTTTCTCCTCCATTCTGTAGTTTAATAGTTAATGTATATTTGGGCATGTGAGAAGGTGAGTTTGGGAAGTAAGAGTTGTATTTGGAAGAGTACTGAAGATACTCTACAGTTCCTGTAGTAATAAAGATCATTAATGAAATAGGACAGGGAATATGAGGGAATGTTCATTCCTGCAAGTTACAAAACATGTCCTGCAAGAATGCAATCCCAGAGATTAGCTTAAAGGCTGAGGGAGAGGTGAGCAAACAGCAGCAGTGTAAAGGTCAGCCAGGCAGAGGCACGTATATCCCTGTAATACTGCGGCATCAACAAGGCTGTTTGAGCAGCCACCTGTGCAACAGCATCAATTAAAATCCCACTGGCTAAAACACGTATGAGGATAACACATTAGATAAGAAGAAAAAATGGGGGCTCCAGAAACTGATGTTAGTGCCTCACTCTGCCTGCTAGCCACCTCATGTAGAGAGACCCAGGGCAGCTGTCAGTGCACCCTTTGGACGGCTACCAGCCACCTGCCTGTGGCCCCGAGCCGCAGCACAGGACGTAGGTGCGCAGTTTGCAGACTGGGAGTTTTGGTTGTGCTTGCAGGAGAAGGTGCAGTTAAGTGTAGGGACTGCAGTGATGTTGAGCTTTAACAGTAAAATCTGATTGCGTACTTGACAAAATGTTTCTGTATAATCACAGTGGTGGTAAGATAAACTTTTCTTCAGCATATTGTTAAAGTACTGTAATACTGTGATGTTATATAGTAAAAGGTCCTGGTGACTTAAAGACTCCCACATTAAAATATTTGGCTGTGTTGTGCAGTCCTTTTGCAGAAGGAAGAGAGAATCCTGTTAGGAGCGTAGCCCAGTTTGGCTTTTAAACAAATGTAACTTCAGCTTATACTTCTTTTTGTTCCCCTCACCCCATGTTGTAGGTGTTCTGCCCTTTTCAGCACTGATGAAGGCTGTGCGGTCAGTAGTGGTTCCTAAGGAGATGTGCAGTGTGTTGTGTCCAGACACAGCTCTTTGAAGAGGGAATAAGGGAAGATTTTCTCCTTAAAAAAGGCAGAGCTAAGAGTCTCTTACTTCAGTAGTTTTTCTACTACAGAATGTGATTTGTCTTGAAAATGTTTTACTCTGAATGCTGATCAGTTTGAAGCAGTGAAAAATAATCCTGGCATAGGATGTAGTGTTGGCAAGTCTAAGAGAAACCCCCTCTGATAACCTCAAACTTCAGAAAATACGGTGTTCATGTTTTTGCACATCCTTCCTCTCCTTCATAGCAACTGTTGCATTTACTGGGGATACAAGTAGAGGAAAAAAGGGGAAAAGGCATTTTTATACAGATGACAATCAGTGAAAATAAAATTTCTTATTCCTGTTACTGAAAGCATTATCACATGACAGCAAGTGTGTCAGAATTGCCCTGACGGCGCCATTCAGGATATATCCATACAATTTAGCTAGGGGTATGGGTGAATGTTACTTTTTGCCAAAATAACATATGAATCAACATAAAAGAATTCATACGTAGGCTAATTATGACTATTGGCATTGAAACTAATTTCTCTGTAGTAGATCCGTTGAGGTCTGAACTTCCTTTTGCCTCGTTTTTTATCATAATTGGAGGTAGCTGAAAAAAACACCCTCTGTTCAGGTCTGGGATGGTCCATATTTTAGAGCCTGCTGTTACCTGCACACACACCCTTCTCCACTACCTGTGAGCAAAACTGTCCTTTTGCTGGGGCAGAGTAAGCAAAATTTAGTCCTGTTTGTGTGGTTTTCCTAAGATAACGTAAATGCACTTACGAATGACATGTTTACATCAGTTGTGTTCCTCTCCCTGTCCCGCTAAATATCTTGTAAGCTGCACATGGTACACGTAGTGCAACAAGCACGTGAGCAAGTGTGAATGTAGTTTGTGTGAGTAGGAGAAGATGATAAAGGACATTGATAAAGTGTGCATGGAGCTTGGCTGGTCTGTATTTTGTACCGTGACTGTAACACTTTCTTCCTGGGAGCACAATCATCTCTAGTGCCAGAAATTAACTCCCACCAATTTAACTGACTATTCACTAGGTCCTTCTTTGTTCTAGGACTGTACAAGAAATCGGGCAAACTAGTGTTTCTTGGACTAGACAATGCTGGAAAAACTACGCTGCTGCACATGCTCAAAGATGACAGACTGGGACAACATGTCCCCACATTACACCCCAGTAAGTTAATATTGCTGGTTCCATAGCTAGAGAGTATTTAAAGTGTTGCAGGAAAAGCAGGATCTGATTATACATCATAAGACCAACAGTATAAGGAATTTCTGGGATTGCAATCTGTAGATAGTTCAAGTAATATTAAAAAAAATTAAATGTGTAGGATAGTTCAGTGTGTTATATCTGAAATTAAGAACCGAGTAACGGGCAGAATGATGGACCTGAGAATTTGGATTACAGAAGCTGTGGGGAAACTGGGGCTTGCAGTGTTTGAGAGCAGCTTCTCTGTGCAGCTGGAAAATGAGCATTTATGTAGACCCTCTTGACTTTTTTGCTCAGAGGTTGCTGTGTAATTGTTATCCTGGTAGCCTCACGAGAAAAAGTTCAGTGCGGGTTAAAAAAGTGGATTGGTGAAGTCCAGTAAGGAGGTGAGAAATTGGGAAAGGATTTGAAGAGGAGAAACCTTGAACAGTATTGTACATGAAATGCCATCTTTGGCAAACCTGATGCCAGAGCCAACTGTTGTTTGTGTAATGTGTAGGGATAAATAATGTATGAATATTCTCTGCTATTCTTAGTATTGTAGACGTTTTGCATGTGTTTTAATGGTTAATAGAGTTTTATCGTTGAACAAATGTGTCATTGACTTTGAGAGAAAATATTTTCTCTCAGATTTGTTTCTTGAATAACAAAATACTGAAAAGACCCAAGAGAAAGTAAAATCTACGTGGTAGAAGGTTAGACCATTCCAGTGCACTGCATAATCTTCACAGAGAACATAATTCTGTGTATTTCTAGCTTCAGAAGAGCTGACAATTGCTGGCATGACTTTCACTACCTTCGATCTGGGTGGACATGCTCAAGGTAAGAGAATACGTTGACTCACTTCGCTGAATTGAGTTAGACTTGTCTACAGTCCATTTGTTTTGGATCAGAAATATGACCATGCTGCAGGGATCGACTTCCCATGCTCTCTTTGACAGTATATGAAACATTCACTGCTCTGTGGTTCGTCTCACTATCTATCACAAATCCCAAATACAGTTTGGCAAGAGCTGCAGTGGAACAGAGATTTTTGGCAGATATGTGTATTTTGAAGAGGATTCTGTACTTTGAATTGCTTACATTTACCTTTAAAGCCTTTATGATTCATACTTACCTTTGTTGACATAATTATTGGGGAAACACAAAAAGTTTCAGCACATCAGTGTGCATGTGGGGTAGATAAAGTGGTGAGGTAAAGGGAATGATACTTCTCCATTATTTCAAGCTCTGTAAAACATGAAATTGCATCCTGAAGACTGGCAGCATAGGCTAAGACTTTAAAAAAAACAAAAAAAACACCAAAACAGACACTAAAACCTGTTGCTTCTTAATTAGTAATGTGCATCTCTGAATTTTGGGATAATTTTCTTTTGTTTTTAATTCATATCTTCCTTGTAGCTCGCAGAGTGTGGAAAAACTATCTGCCTGCCATTAATGGCATTGTGTTCTTGGTGGACTGTGCAGATCATGAAAGATTGCTTGAATCAAAAGAAGAACTTGATGTAAGTTCAAATAAGTTTTTGAAAGTTTTAACTTTAACTTGTAAGAAATAAGCTCAAATTCTTGGTGTCCAACAGATCTCTGCTGCCACCTGGACATGAGTAGTGGCGATTTGACCTGTATTCTAAATTAATCTCCCCTCCTTTCTCTTTTCCTTTGTAGTCACTAATGACAGATGAAACTATTGCTAATGTGCCTATCCTAATTCTTGGTAACAAGATTGACAGACCTGAAGCCATTAGTGAAGAGAGGTTACGAGAGATGTTTGGTCTGTATGGCCAGACAACAGGAAAGGTAATACTTCCTTTTTTGTGTATGTGGGGTTTTTTTTGTTTGTTCAGGATTTTGTTTGCCTTATATTTACGTGTTGAGTGCAGTTCACTCCAGCTACACAAAATAAATGGGTTTTAATTTATGAAAGTACTTACTACGTAACTATATATGAAATGAATTCTGGTGTCTCTTTTTGTGGGTGTGCATTAGATGCATCTCTACTACAACTTTTTTACATCATATTTAATGCCACATTTTTTCAGAGAAGACTAAACTGTACTTGGGCTAATTTTTAGTACTTCAACTTTCCAATGCAGTACTTCAAAAGAATGAGCAAGTTTTCAGAGGCTTTAGTTCTAGTGAGAACTATAAGAGAAAACTTGAAGTTTTTCAGTAACTGACTTTTCTCCTTTAAAGTGCAAACATAGTACAATTTGTTACTTAACATGTTTACCTGAAGCTTAGAAGTAGATCTACACCATTGTGGAAGTCTGAGTTTGTAGGTTGTGAGGAAGAAAAAAGTTCCTGCTGGCATTGGTAACAACAAGGAAGATTTATATTATGGATCTTTGTGATACTTCCACTCTTACTAAAGTAAATACAGTGTACTACTTGTAGGAGACATTTGGAAACAGGGCACTAGAAAGCAGTTGCGCTGTTGTCCTTTGCCCTTGGAAAGACACCTCTGTGCAGCTGACAAAGCCATTCCAGTGTGGCTTCTGTCCCAGCTCCCATTAGATGACCAGCAGCGTGCTCTGCTGAGGAGGGTGCCTGGTCTTGTAATTCCTCTTTTTCTCCAAGAGTATTTACTCTTAGATGCTTCCCTTAAAGTTCAGTGCCAGTCAGGGTTTAGGCTGAGCAGGAACAAATCTTGATCACCTTCTTTTCCACATGAAAGAGAATTGCACAGGTTAGTTTTAGAATTGGTGTAATGGGCTATCAACAGTTACTACTGACTTTTTTATCTTGCCATGGTTTTTACAACACTGCATGTAGTCTATGAAGTATGAATACCATTGCGAATCTCCAGCTGAGCAACAGCTTTATTGCACTGTGCTGATTTACCAAGCAAGCAACTTGCACTCTTGCAATGGTCAGTCCTACAATTGGTAGCAAATGCTTTTCTTACCCGGTTGTAAAGCTGTTGGAAACAGAGCAGGGAACTGCACCTGAAAACCACACATAAACTCTCAAATTCTCTGTGCAAGTACTTGCTGTTGCATTCTGGTTTCATGTACTTCACCCTCTTCAAATGTGGATGCACATGAAAATATGCTTCCTGTATTTCTTAAGTGAGCCTAATCTTAGTAACATGTACATGTTTTAGATTAATTTATTTTCTAAAATTCCAATATCTGACACAAATAATGGTATTCCATAGAAACAAATGCCCATGTACAGTGGCTGTCTTTTTATAACAGTACTGTAACTTGCAATACTCCTGTCTCTCTGCAGGGCAGTATACCATTGAAAGAATTGAACGCAAGGCCTCTAGAAGTGTTTATGTGCAGCGTGCTAAAGAGACAAGGCTATGGAGAAGGCTTCCGCTGGATGGCACAGTACATTGATTAATGCCAAAATCGCATCTGTACATTCTGTCCCATGTCTGAATATTTAGTCTGCTCCTTATTTGATCACTCGGTGTACGTAACTTGAATTCATTTGACTGTTTAGTTATAAAAATACACATTTTTAGCTAATTATATCATGTGTGCTAAATTGTAAGTGTGAAGATTGAACTATTACTTCAAGCAAGTTTGTAAGTTTAAGTACCACAACCTGTGAGCTTTCTAATCCCATGCAACATTCTTTTGCAGCCTTTAATTTAACAAGTCTCCAGCACCATTTTTGGTCAGAGCAACTTTCCAGCACAGTATGTTTGAATGCACTTTTTAACAGCTAAAAACAATGAACGTGTGAAAAATATTTAATGCTTATGTTAAATTTTTTTATGTACTTTTTTGAAACTGGTTTTATAACTTTAGAGTATATAACCATCTTTCAAGGAATAATAAATAATTAGCTGATGGATAATTGCATGATGCCTTACGGTTTTCAATAACAGACTTTCTTATGCAACGTCATGCAATAAATTTAAATCCAGTTTTTGGCAACTTTAATGGAAAATGTTTCATTTTAATGTGTCTTAAGTAGTGAGGCTGCCTGGTGATCTGAATATGTGGGATATTTTCCTGAAACACAGAAGGCCACAAAGTAGCTTCATTGTATCTTGGAGTAAGGTGCTTTTTTCAGACTACCAAATTGCATTTATTTCAGGATTTTGCATTAGTAAAAGAAAAATCTAATCTGATGCCCTTATAACCACCACCTTTAAAAGGTACAGATAATGTAAATCAGCTGTGCCAATGTCAATCTTGAACTAATGTCAAAAGTGGTCTTACTCTACTGGTCTCTTGAATTAAACCCCTGAAGTGACACAAGAAATACTTTCTGAAGAATTTAAGAATACCATTGCACTAAATATTCTATTCCTAATTTAATTAGATTTGGGGTCTTCCAGAAGATTTTTGCCTGTGAAATTGCCAGGAAAAGAAATGTTGCTGCTTGTCGAAAATTTATCAACCCACACCCAATCAGCCGATTTTATTTTTTGTGTTTTGAACTGGGACCGGATGGATTGTTTTCTGTGTTTTTTGCCCTGAAACCTAGCCAGTGTGGCAGCTGCTGGCTGCCCAAGTGGCTTATTTCTGGGGTAAAATGTGGTTATCTGCAGTCCTTGTTTCCAGACTTCTGACTGTTTTTTCCCATCTTCGAGTGCATTAGTTCCCCGAGGAGAAAGGTTATTTTTGAAGAAAGGGTGTTGCAGCAGATGTGTCTGTCAATGTTTTGGTGATGCTGGCTGACACTGCCATGGAGCTGTGTCAGTGTTTCCGTGTGCTGGGGATGGTTTACTCTAATCTGTCAAATGTAGGTAGGGTTTCAGCCCTGGGGTCACCGTTTCACTGCGGTGGCTTTTTGAGTTTCGCTGTGTAGTTTGTTTTCCCCCTTGCAAGAGTATGAACTGCTGCAAGTGTTTTCACTGAATCCCTTTTACTCGCTGTTGTAGATATTCTCCAAGATACTTTAGGCCTTATGTTTTCAATATCCATGGCAGCAAATATGTTTCTGACGGGTTTGATTTCATAATTGATCTACTGGGCTTGAATCTCACATTTAAAGCCTGTAGGCTCATAGCGAATAAATGGACTTACTCCTTGCCCAGATCTGAACTTGTATGATTGAATATTGATGATCAGTTCCCTGCAGTCCTAGATGGTGCATCTGAGTGAGATGAATAATTCAGAACCTAACTAATGTAAATTGTAATTGAAGTTTGTTACTGCACAATCATATGCAAAGTGTTAAGCCTAGTTTATGCATGGTGAAGTTGAGTGATGGTATCGGATAGCTTTTCCAAATGACCAACATAAGAGAATTCTGCATTTAAACTAGCGCTGAGCTGTAGAGTAGTGTTTCTGTGTTGCATAAATCAAAACTAGAGGGTAAGAAATGGCCTCTCACAAGCTTGTGGATAGTATGTGAGTCTTTACTACCTACAGCTGTTATGTAGGGGACATACCTCTTTTTTTTTTCTCTAGATTTTTCTGATGATGGCTATAATGAAGAGAACAACGGCTAAATCAGTAGATGGTGTAAATGCTAAAAACACTACTTGCAGTCACATTGTGGTGTTGATATGGGAGGTTTGGGATTGTGTTGCCTGCACTTATGGAAATGAAGCTGGAGGTGGAGGTGTTCTGCTGCAGACCACTTCCACAGGCTGAGCCATGACGTGGGCACAGAGAGGTCCTCTTCACCTGCTCTTCCAACCAACTGTGAATAACATTAGCAGTAAGTAAAGGGATGATAGCATTAAGAATTAAAAAAGAAGGAAGGTGATACTGTTTTAAAAGTGTGTGTTAAGAGTAATTCTTAGTATTATGGACATACTCAGATTTCCTGTTTCCTGCTGTAGGATGCTAGTTTAAATGTGGTTGTAATAAGGGCATGAAGACGTCTGGACCTTGTGTTTATCCACCTGGGTATTGTAATGGCTCTGTTGTGGTAATACCTGATCAACACTCAGTTAATAATCTCGCTCTGTTTCCTTTCATTCAGTAGGGGAAGACCCTTTCTTCTGTAGTTTATGTTCTGTTGTGCACATGAATGTGAATGGCTGTTGTGTGTCTTTGTGTGAAGACTTCATTAATAGACAAATAGACTGATGAGAGTTTGTTTTCTGGTGGTTTTCATCTGCACCCTCTCCACATCTCCCCAGTCACTTATTTCTGGAGGTTGCTTGTTTCTATGATTGTGACCAGTCTTGCTTTACAAAAAAAAAGGCAAGCAATGTTCACAGTTGGGTCTAACTTACATTATTTTTTTTTCACTCTTGACTATGCAGATTTCAATTAAACATCACTTCAAAGAATGTGAAAAAGAAAAAGCATTAATAAAGATGTTATTTATTAAGTGGCTCACTTTGTTTTTTACATCACAACTGTTGTTTAAGAGAAATCAGTGCAGATTTCTAAAATACCAATAACTACTTCTGACAAAGTGGCCTGTATTTCTCTGCAGTGACCCCATGCGCTAGCATCTATGACTTGAACAAGATTTATTTTGCTTGGATTTAATTAAACTTGGGGTTTAGTATGTATTGTGTAATTGACAGGTGTTGCTCTATTCCAGTCCTAGTTTAATAAATTTTTCAGCAAGAATTACTGGCATTGGAGATGGCAAGGATCTTTGAGTTTTCTTATTTATCCTCTTGTCAGATCAAGATTATTTCATTAATATTTCTATATTCCATGTTCAGGTACTGTCTATGATGTGCCAAAGATGACCTATGGCATTCACTGGAATAAAATACCTGCATGCATGTGAGATTTACTCTACTTTAATAATTGGAATTGAATGTCAACTAGAACAGTTGGCATCCATTTATTTATAACTAAAGTCAGGTCAGAAAAATTAGTGGTGGTCTCCAATCCCAGTGAATTCACAGGTCTGCTTGAAGTTGACTTGTTCTTCTCTTGTTTGTGCTGTCAGAGTATTTGGTTGTTACCAGCCAAAGTCCAGTATTTCTGTCGACTAGAACATGCTCAGATTTAGTGTAGATGACATAATTGTTAGTTATGGATTTAGGAGTTACATTAAAAGCAGCCTCATCCACTGGCTGTCAGTGGGGATATGTAACTTACTTGCACTTAGATAAACCACTTTTTGCACTAGTTTGTCAGTGTGGAACTAAACGTTTTATGTTTTGAAATGTGAGTGCTCTAAATGTTTAAAAGCATAATTTATATAATAAACTGCAGAAGAAAAGCTAAAGATGAAAGTTCTTAAACATGTTCTTAATGTGGTATTTGTTGTTATGTTATCCCATCCCATGGTTGAAATTCAAGTAACAGGAATAGAAAATAAAATTCTGACTTGGAATTTGAGGAAAAGGAGTTTGAAACAGGTAATTCTTGTCAAATTATCAAAACCAGGAAAAAAGTGTGCGTAGTATGTGGTCTAGTAGTGAATTTGTTTTTTAGCTGAATATAATCATAATTCAGCCTTGTTTTTGCTAGGGATTCTATTCATGTATGCATGGAAGCAAATCCTCTACGTGGAAAACTGAGCATGGAAAAAACCCCAAACATTTCCTCTGTTGCAATTTTAAAATGAGATGGACGGATTTGATCTTGCAGGCAAATGACACTGCCTTAGAACCCTGCTGCCTGCTGGGATTTGCAGAGGGACTGAGTAGGGATTGAGTAGGGATTGCTGCTGAGTTTAGGTGCTTATCAAACCGAGGCCACTCAGACCTGTTTGTCACAGCCCATGGGAAAGCGCATTAACCTACTGTGATAGAGAACTATTTTCCAATCCTGAGTACAGGGTCTTCTTGGTTTACATTTTTCAAATTATTTCTTACTTGACTGTTTTTGACCTAGAATTAGAAATATGTTCAGTGGTGAGCAGTTACAGTAAAATAAACATGAAAAAAACTCTTATCCCTTGTTTTAGTTGTGAACCCATTTCTTATGGCACGTGTCCCATCACAGCAGGAAATTGATAGTAATAATTTAGAGCCTTTGCTGCCTTTCATCCCAGGATCTCAAAGCTTTCTACTTGCTCATGCTGCCTCAACATCCTTGTGAGGCAGAGGGCTCTTGTCGTTGTTTGACCTGTGGTGAAGGTGAGGTCCGGAGCGGTGAGGTTGTACTTGGTCACTGCCTGAATAAGAAGCAGCCCCCAGCAACACGGAATGGAGCGATGCCTCCCTTGGCCTGGGCACCGTTTGCACGTGTCCTAGAGTGATGACAGAAGCCTTCATCGCATGCAAGCTACTGAAGATACTGCACAAACCACGTGTAAATCAAGGGCATTTTGTGTCACCTCCTCTGCATTCATAGCAAAAGAAGCCGCTGTAAGCGTGTACCATTCGCTGTCAACTGTGTCGCACCCAACTATGACAATACTTAGTAGATGACAAGTTAAAAGAACAGCACACAAACTTGCAATGTGTAGAGTGGGTGCAAAGCTTGGATCTGCTTGTAATTTCTGATTCTCTTTCCTAAATGTGCAATGACAAGAAACGCTCTCCTTGTAAAAGGAGAGTTTAAAGGCACACTTCCAGTATTGGGTCCAAATGCCTGGTTTTAGCACAGACTACTAAGTGTATATTGTTTGGTTAGATTTTTGCCCCCACAAAGGTCGTGCTTCACCAGTGGTTTGATCAACTCCCAGGAGCAGCACAAGCTGGAGCAAACCCCCAGCAGTGGCTGGGGGCGGAGATGAGCTGTTGGAGACCCGATCTTGGCAATTTCCTGATACTCGAGTACCCAAACCCAGGAGTGGCTACAGCGGCTTTGTTGACAAGGGCTGTACTGCGCCCAGCTGCTGGGCTGGGGAGGGATCGGGCTGGCGCTCGCAATAGCGCGGGGAGATGGGGAAGCCGAGCGGACGAGGGGAACCTGATCTTGCCCTGCCGAGAGCATCTGAAGTGGTTCAGCTTCCGTAGCACACGGGGTTTCTGAGCGAAGGAGGCTGCTTTTCAGTGAGAGCATGGCTCTTGAGGGGAAGGCTGGAATTTGTTTTAAGTTGGAGCTTAAGATCTTTGTTAAAG